CACAGAACTTGCAATGTTGTCTATTGAAAAATCAATGGTGCGAGAAATAGCAAACTTTAATGAAAAAGTAATTGAAAAGTTTATTTCAGACAAAAGCAGAAGTATGAATTTTCACTATAAAACATAATATTGAGCTCATTTTCCTTATATTTCAATTGTAGTTAAAATAAGACTACCCAATTATATCTGATTTTTTTTCAACACTATACCTATATTTTTCCGTCCTCCCTGGTATGAAAGTCAAGAGTAGGGATGCAAACGATACTTCGATACTTACGGGGTATCGATACTTTTGTTTCGATACTAAGGTATTTTGGTATCGATACCTTCAATTTGATACTTTACTAATATCAATACTTAAAGAAAAGTATCGTATCGTATTTTAATTGGTTTTGCATTCAGCTTATTTTACTTTGCAAAATACGTGGGATATAGAAAAATGCCATGTTTCAATGATGATCAACACAGATGAAGAGGGTGGGAGAATTGTAATGAAAATACGAATAATTGTAAAGGACAGATTGAGGCTATAAATAATATTTTATTTATTAAGTACATATTTATTTACTTGAAATTTGGGAAAAGGTGTTGCTTAAACGATATTTATTGTTCATTATAGAATACAGATGTTCTGAAAGCTACATAAAGTATACAGTCATGCGTAATGTTCTGTGAAATGTCGTTAAAATTTTGAAAATTTTTTCTCGAAAACTAGGATCGACCGCACAAAAATAACTCCAGATTCGTATTTAGCATCTTCGAAAATAAGAGAGTAGGAAAAATTTTTGTGACCATTTGGGCATTTTTGTTATAGTAAATAATATGAAAAATATTCAGAATAAAATATAAAAAATATTAGAGGTAGATTTATTAATTAATAAAGAAAAGTACATTAAACAAACAATATTAATTCTTACGAGATAGACTTTGTGGAAAAGGAAGTATGATTATATATTACATAATAATACATCTGCACCAGTGTCACTAAAAATAATATAACGAAAATAAACATAAACAATAAAATTAATTATACGACACGAGACATATATATTTATATATAATTATTAAAGCATTAAAAATTAATATAATACCAAAACGACAAAAAATATAACGATGCTCGAATTTTTTGCAATCACAAATCTATGAAAATAAAGGTAAATTAATAATCATCGAAAATAACATAAAAATTAATATTTATAACATGATACTGTTTATATAAAAAGAAACATATATGGAATATACTATAAAATACACAAATTTTGAATTTTCAACAAGATGCAAATTCACAATTTGCTAAAATAAATTTGTATCCTCATTCTTTCTTAATACTAGTAACGTTAGTAAATAAATTTCTATATTAATTGCACTTAGTGTTACTATTCTTACTGAATAAAGATCGCAACTGTCTCTTGTCATGCAGTCGCAACCTTACCTGGAAGAACATTGACAAAAACTGGCCTTGGCCTAACAAATGTTAAACAAAAAATAAAAACAAAAACTATCACACAGTGATTCTATACTATTGCCTTTTTTCATAAGTTAGATATTACATATCTAAGTTTTGTACATATGTCCAAAGGCATTTCGCCTTAGTACAAAATAAAATCACAATATCTTTATAATAAAACAACACTTAAAGCACAGGATAAAATTATACTGTTTTATATCAAAAATGGAACTGAACAGTTAAGGCACGTTTACATAATTTTTTTAATTTGATTTCTGACAATGTCCAATTTTTATGTTTTGAAAAAGTTTCTGGAATACAAAGAGTGACCGCAAAATCCGCCTGTTTTTGAGACTTTAATAGAGGCGACAGGAAATATCCTAAAAATATTCTAAAAATATTCAAAAACTCGTCATGAAAAATGAAAATGAGCATCACTTTCAGTTTTTCGAAAATTTTCGAAAATCCCCCTTATTTAGGGGTTGAAAAGACAAAAAAAGTGAACAAATTAAGAATCATCAACAGTTGTAAAACCCCAAATATTTCTATGTTGTTATGAAAATATTTTTTCACATTATTTACAATTTTTATATTTGGGGGATGATTTTACCCCTTGAGGGATGATTATTTTTGAAAATGATTGATAATGTATAGGAGCACTTGTGTATAAATTATTCTAATGAATGTATTTCGAAACATTTTTTTTTTCGTGCATTATAATTATTTTATGTATGTACTTTGAACCCGATGGTTGAACTTAGGGCTGGTTTTACCCTCATTTAGGGGTATTTTCCTTCGGATCTAGTGATTGTGGGTTATTAGCGGATCAATTATCACGTACAAAAAAAAAGAAAAAAAATTGTAACTTTTAATATTTTTTATATTTTGCATTTTTAGGCGTTTAGGGAATGATTTCACCCCAGGTATATTATGGGTTGATTTTCAATCCGGACAAGACCGTATCAAATATGAAATTAGATATTTTCACGTTCATAATATTATTTTGATAACAACATAGAAATATTTTGGGTTTTACAACTGTTGATGATTCTTAATTTGTTCACTTTTTGTCTTTTCAACCGCTAAGGGTGATTTTCGAAAATTTTCGAAAAACTGAAAGTAATGCTCATTTTCATTTTTCATGACGAGTATTTGGATATTTTTAAAATATTTTTAGGATTTTCCCTGTCGCCTATGTCAAAGTCTCAAAAACAGATGAAAAAATGGCTTTTCTTGCGGTCACTCTATGCTAAAAAAATCGTCACAACACATTATGAAAAGTAACGTTTCAGGCGATAATGTATAAAACAATCATATTCAACATTTTGAAGATACTTGTAAAAAAAATTTTAATTTTTCCTTTTTTTGGCAGATAAACGACGGAAATTTTTTATTAGATTTAAATTCTTGAAAGTGTTTTGGATTAATCCATCCCAGAATATTCCAAAATTATATTAAAGCAAAATTTCTATACACAATATTGAGGTTCAAAAAAATCAAAACAGTAATATGAATTATGTTAAAATTTATATTTTCCGATGCGTAACGTGTTAATTAAGAATATAGACAAACATTAATTAATGAATCTTTGGATTTTAAGAAAAAAAAGTTCATAGGCACGGGGATCTGCAACAGCTCTGTATTCCAGATAGATAAAGCATTGTTTGAAAAAAAATTTACAACTTTTTTTCTTGAAATATTTTTAGATTGCCCATATCTATGCCCATGGCCCAGGAAAGAAAAAAATATTTAATACTTGCAAAATTTACCTTTGAATATACAGGGTGTTTGGTACGTCGATGCATTCCTTGCAGGAGGTTATAGTACATGTGATTTGTTTCCGATCTACAGGGTGTTAAAGTTTTAATAAAAAAATGCAAATTTACAAATATTGCGGCAACCGCTCAGAATATTTTAATGAAATTTTACAAGCTTTGACAGTTAACAACAATACATGTTTTATGATAAAAATATTGTTTTCAGTTGCGTGCACACAGGCACCTCTTTAAATATTTTAAAATTATATGCCACTGAATTTTCTTAAAATAAGAATTATTTTTAAATTGCTTGTTCAATTTCGAAGAGAAAAGGTATCTCGACTGTTTTTCGGGTTAAAAACTTAAAATCGATTTATTGCATAGCCTCATCCGGTTTCAATAATTCTTAAAATATCAGATATTATGCACTCAGCTTTTTTTTGTACCAATTTTATTACAAAAAATTATTACTCCTCGCAGTTAACATCAGTCTAAAAATTTTTTATCAGTTTTTAACTTCACTATTCACTATCTAAACAGAAATTAGCAAGTTGGCTGACATTTTCGACCGGGGTAACCCGGGCAGAAATAAGGTGAGCACGTGCGTGCGTTCTTTTGAGCAATATGTTAAATAGTTACTAATTAAAATAAGGTAATAACATAATAATTATATTAGTAATTTTTTTCATTTCCTAGCGAGCTTTGTACTCATTTAAACTAAAGATTAGTTAAACGAATTTTAAATTACAGATAACATAATCTAATCTCTAATTAAATAAGGAAGCTTTTAGACTGATGTGAGCTGGGGGTAGTAATAACGTGTTGTAATAAAATTGATACAAAAAAAACTAAGTGCATAAGTAATTTCTGCTATTTTTCAAATTATTGAAGCCAGATTACGCCATGCAATAAATCGATTTAAATTTTTTTACTCCAAAACTGTGCGTCATAAGAAAAACAGTCGAGACACATTTTCTCTTTCAAATTGAACAAGGAATTCAAAAATAATTTTTATTTTAAGAAAACTCAGTGGCGTATCATCTTTTTCGTTAAAAATATCCAGAGATGTTCCTGTGCGCAAGCCACTGGTGAAACTGAAAACAATATTTTTATTGTAAAACATGTATTGTTGTTAACTGTAAAATTTCAATAAAATATTCTGAGCGGTTTCCGCGATATTTTTAAATTTGCTTTTTATTAAAACTTTAACACCCTGTAGATCGGAAACTAAGCGTTTTCGGAACTTGGTATATTAAGAAATTATATCACAAATCACTTGTGCTATAACCTCCTGCAAGGAATGCATCGACTTACCAAACACCCTGTATATTAGTGTGTAAAGTTTTAATGAAATGGCAGATAGATTCTTACCATACAATACCAATAAAAAAAATCAAATTATTTTCAAACTGAATTTTCTATCTGAAATCTAGAAAATAGAGCATTTGGAATTTCTATAACTTTTTGTCTCAAAATCAACCAAAGATCGATTCCTAAAAGTTTCTCTACATACTGTATTAACACCCTGTACATCTTATTTTCGATGTCATGCGAAGGAATTACTTTTTATTAAAGATGGAAGGTTGTGGTTTTCCTGAACATTGGCTACTTCTTTATAAAAAATCTTCATGTCAAAACAAATTTCCTAATTTCTATAATTTTGGAGTTAAAGCCAAAAATATATATTTTGTTTTTTACTTCTCAGAGACCACTGTAGCAATAAAGTAATTTTTTCTGAATCGACACTGTGACATAAATTTTTTCCCTAGAAGCCCTAGTGGCATATTTAATTCTTCTTTTTTTTTTAATAAGTCAATATTTTCGATTTAGAGGTCAAGGTTATAATTATTTAAATGGAAACCATAGTTGGCCAGTTAAAAAGAGAGATTTATATCGGGAAGCAAATAGTTCTTATTTAATCCATCTATTTAAATTTGTTTTTCTCCATAGCCAGCTATATACAATTATGACACCAGTTGCTTTTTAGTAGAGTATTTGTTTTTGATCATGGCCAAGTTCATTATTTTTATTTAATTTAGAAAAAAAAAGAACCCTTTTTTGGTTTTTGAAATAAGTTAAAATATATATTTTTAGAAAACATTCAACACTATTTTTAACTATGTCACCGCCAACTTTGATTCCATTAAATATTTAACTGATCAGTAAGTTGAAAACCATTACGAGGCAAAAAAGTAGGCCACTGTATTCTATAAAAAAATGTGGTAACATTTTAAGTCAACTGTAGCTGCGACAGAGGTCACACAAAAAATCATTTTTTTTAATTCTTTGGCTGTTCAAATTCAAAATAAAAAAAAAAATTAAGATCTGCTTTCACCCAGAGATTTCCCTCGCAAGTCGCCCATGTTCATAAAACTTAACTTTTATCTTTAATAATAACCAAAATGCCCTAGCATTACACGAAAAATAAAATGCAGTCCTACTGTAAATTATGGACTCGTAAAATTAATGAAAAAAGAAATAAGCTATTTGGTATCACGAAAATTTCATTTATGAGATATTAATACGTTAATCGCCCACGTCAAATAGTAAAATTTTTCCGCCTAAGCCAAAACTCTCTTTAGAGATATTTTTATTGATAACTTTAAAATATTACGTAATAATTTACAAACATTGCGACATATTTTTTCGTAAAAAAAAAATAATCTTAAAATGTGAACCAACGTTTGGTTCTAGGAGCCTATGTATCTGTGAGGCCCCGTGACTCAAACACGGTTCACGCATCATGCAGACTTGCATTGCCTGTTTTGACTTGTTTGTAAAGCTCCAACAGTATACGCTTGTCACCGACGGCACTTGCTTATTCGTTACGTTTTCCTATTTGATACTGAGAGGACGTTCTATTGGAAGTGAATATGAGTGGTGATTACAAAAGAAATCAAGCAGAATTACAAAAAATTTGGGACAAATTTTTGTCTAATTTGGAAGAAGAACCTTTTCAAGGTGAGTCTTCATCAGATGAATACAATCCTAAATCTGATAACCAATATTCTTCAGATGAAGATTTTAGGCCACATAAAAGATGCAAAAGGTAAAATTTTTCATTTATTTTCTCCCAAAATATGATGTAGGTATTTTTTTTACTGTATTGTACTCACAAATTATTTCTTCACCATTTTTTTACATAGTATTATCTAAGTTATTTTTTAGGCCAGAAAGTATTGCATTGACATCTAAGCCAAGAGCAAGTCAAGATCATGATGACGCTATTCCTTCAATGTCCAAGAAAATTTCTCAACCACAGAATATAAACTCGTCTGTAAAAGATGCTATAGAGGCAGTTATTATGATATATTGCACAATGGATAACGACAACTTGGACAATGATGATCCTGATGAAGCAAATGAAGATGCGACTTGATCTAATGTTACCGGAACAGGAAATTTGATTTAATAGGTCCAGTAGGCCCCTCTGACAAAATTAGGGAATCCTATCTGGCTAAGACACCTGTCGATTTTTTTACAATTTAGTAAATCTTATAGTAACCGAAACAAATTGTTATGCTCAACAAAGGATCAGTAAAGGAATTCAGCAACATTCTAGACTGCATAGATGGAAAGACACTGATGTGGAGGAAATTAGCTCATTCTTTGCAATTTGTTTGTGGATGGGCTTAGCAAAATACCCTAAGGTTACACATTATTGGAGAAGAAGCCCACTGTATTCAAATTAATTCTTCCGAAAGATGTCCAGGAACCGTTTTGAGTTGCTGCTGCGTTTGCTGCATTTTAGCAGTAACGAAGATGCTATTCCTGGTGACCGTTTAGCAAAATTAAGTCCTTTGCCGAGACTACTTTCTGACGAATTCAAAGAAGTTTATGTTCCGGAACGAGAAATTTGCATAGACGAGAGTTTAGTTCCATTTAGTGGTCGTCTACTGTTCAAATAGTATATAAAAAATAAACCCTTCAAATTTGGGATAAAGCTGTACAAGATTTATTGCAAAGGAGGATATACATACAACCTGAAAGTTTACACTGGAAATGACAAGGATCCAAATATTAGTGCATCAACAAAAATTGTCCTTGAACTTATGGAACCACTTTTACGGTTCTTTTTACGGACAATTTCCATGAAAGCGTTGGTCTTGCACAGGAGCTCCTAAAACGAGAAACCCACCTAATCGTCACCCTTAGAAAAAACAGAAAACTCAATCCTGTAGAAGTGACCACCAGGAAGCTGAAAAAGGGAGAGATTGTTATTAAATAAAATAACGGGGTGGTTATCCTAAAGTGGCAAGACAAGCGGGAGGTACTTACTCTTAGTACTTGACATATAGCAGACACAACCAAAGTTCAATGACGAGGTGATGATATTGACAAACCGACACATATGCGATTACAATAGTAAATCGTTTATTGATTTATCCGATCAATTGAAGTCGTATTCCATGCCCTTGAGAAAGGGAATAAAGTGGTATCGCAAGCTTGCATTTGAACTGCTATTAGGAACTTTATAGTAAACGCCTATATTCTTTACAAGATGGTACAAAAGGACACATATCTATAATAGACTTCAGAGAAAAAATTGTTCAGAGTTTATTGAAACTGAATTATATGGAAGAAGAAAACGAAAACTACACCAAACAACATGTATTAGAGGAAACCAACTCCAGAAACCACCATAGATGTGTTATTTGCTACGAAAAAATCTGCAGCACTGAAGGTCGAAAACAAGCCCAGCTAAAGGCAAAGGTCGAGGTTATCTTGACAAGCTTGCAACAAATTTTACTGTTCGTCATATTTTTTCAACGTTCATAAGTGTCAAAAATAATTTTTGTACTTATTTTTTTGTTGTTTATGTTTACACGTTTATGTGGTACCATGTTTCAGTTCCTAAATTAGCTTTAGTGGATTTCTGATATTACATTAGATACTAATAAAAAAACTTAAAAACTTTTTTTTTGAATATTTTATCATGCATATCTGTCGAATCAAAAACAAAAAAATCCCAGGGCCAAAGTCTGTTTGGGACGGCCAGGCCCCATAATTTAATAACCCATATGAAGCAATGTAAAGCAAGAACTAAATGGTGATTCACAGACCCGAGAACAAAAGCAAGTCGTGAAGCCCATATATGGGTCACAGGGCCTGGTGGTATAATTTTGTTGAGACTCAGATGTCGGGTCACATGGCGATTAACGTGTTAAAGTTAAAAAATTACTATCTCATTTTTTGAAAACTAAAATATTGAGACGCATCGTGCTCACAAATTAACTCAAAAATATTCATACTGAATAAATTTCCAGTAATACATTTTGACTAATTTTAACATTCTCAAAAAACGTTTTTTAGCAAATTTGGGTACAAAGAACATTTTCTCTGGCAAAACTTTAATACCCGATAAGAAAATGTGAAAATTTCGCTTTCCGAAATCGATATAAAACAGAACGACTTACTTAACGTGTTATTTCAAGATATAAATATTCCTTTTTATTGAAGTTGTCCTAAATTTATGATTTGTCATCCATCCTAACGCTAATTATTTAACAGAAGACAAAGCTTATAGCAATTAAAATAAATAAGATTCACAATGGCATTATAAAACAGAATAGAAATTATTGTTTCTCTTTGCCCCAACACCTAAATATTTATTAAAATATTTTTAACTTACACGTATGTATATATTTATTTGTGCGCCTGCGGCATTTATATATAAAATATATATATTTATTTATTGTCTACTCTGTGCAGTCAATATTCATTTATATTGTATAAACATTATTCTACATGGACTTATAATATTAAATTGTTAATTAAACAAATTTGTTATAAACAATAGTTATGGTGTAAACAACCTATTCTATAGAATATTTGCAAGACCCCTAACACTATCCAAACTGAAAAAAAACTATGATAAACTTTTTTAAGAAAACAAACAAAACTAGTACGTTACTGTTGATTAAAATTATTTTGGATTAGTCACTGCTTAGCAGTTGGTAAAATTATTACTATTAATTACAAGACCTTTAAGGTTACTTTTTATCCTCTACGGGTTAATCACATTGTTAACTAACTAGTTATGAAAAACTATGTTGTACTTTTAGCTGAAGAAATTTTGATTTACTTTTTAAAAGTAGCACCAAGTACGATATATATTCAAGTTGCTTCCATGCGATATATCGCAGTAAACCATTTTACATAGTTGGAAAAAATCCCATAGGGGGAAATACCACATCTTTCGGCATAAAACAGTCATGCACTGTTTTCATGTGATTTTTCATTTTATCGGGTCGCGAAAACTCTTTTTGACAAACAGGACATGGAAATACTTTTCTCTGATGGCCTTCGTGATATAAAAATGCGTGTCGCTGAAAACTATATTTGTTTTTAAATGTTTTTTGGACGTCAACCTTTGCACATTCCGTACACTGATAAACTCCTTCATTTATCGAAGCATACCGGAACAGATTTAAACCTCTAACTGACATTTCCGTGAGCTGTTCCGCGGGGTCTTGACTTTGTGATGTTGCTCTGCGCCTTACCCTCCGTTTCGTCGGTTGTCTGCCACTGGGCGCACTCATGGGTATTGAATTCTGTACAGTCCCTGCACTGGTGGAGGGTGTGGTCATGTTGTTGTTATTATTCAAGTTGTCGGGAGTACTTATTCGACTCGATTCTGGTGTATGGGGTAGCTGATTCGATTGATCTGAATATTCAGGGTGATCGTTACTCTCGGACTTAGGTGTTAACAGCTTTTGAGTAACGGGAGAATCTGTGAATCAGGAAAAACGTAATAAATAAATAATAGGAAACTACTTGAACTATTAAGGTACAGCTTATCAATGTTTATTTATATCAATATCAAAAAAATGTTATCACAAACACAAACTCTAAAATTTAAATTTTATTTTACTTCAAGGCTAATTACTTATTAGTGGATGGCCCATTGAGAACTAATTTAATTTTTGAATTACATTACAAATATATTTCAACATTTGCAATTAAAAAGAATATTTTGTCAAAGAATTTTCAACAGATTTTAATGACAAGAAAAACTATCTACAATAATTTAAGGGGTAAAGCCACTCCAGAATAAAAAAAAAAATTGATTTTTGGATAAATGGTTTAAACAGTGCTTTATTATATGAATAAAAATGGAAAAAGCTTCAGGCAGGAGAAACATCGGGAAGACAAGATTTTTCGAGGTAGAGCACAGCCGCTCGCAGCACACTGCAGTAGTGTTTATTGTAACTCGTTGGAACGTGTGTGCCAGAGGCCAGATTGAGTCTCTGATCAAGCTAAAAACGAAGGGGATGAGGAAAATTTTAATATAGAAGACCATTTATCAGGGATACGTAATTTTCGGATTTACCAAATAAGTGTGAATAAATGCGAAATATGGGAATAAACGCGAAGCGGTACGCTTCTGGTAAAATCTTGGAATTAATTAAGTCCTTCACATAAAATTTAATGAAACGAAAGAGATCTACCATACCAACACATTGGATACATTTTATCCCTTTTCCAAAATTCCGTTTTTTAAAAATATCCACCAAGATGGAGCTTATTGAACGCAACTATATCAAAGTCGCTATCATAGACAACTCGTAGCTGCTTCAGATAAAACAGTCACTCCCGCTATTCTTCAGGTTTTATGCGCAACTAAATAAATTTAAAGTTTATGGTCCTGTAAATAGTATTAATGCGGAGCTATTTAAACACTGTCATCATCAGGCTGTTCTAAGAAAATGTAGAAACAGCAATGTTGGCTTTCAACTAACAGTAAGACTATCTGATACATATAATATACTTAAGTTAAATTTACAAATGTTGAGCCAATATTTTTATTATTCTGTTGCTGATTTGAACATTCGTTTTAGCGAATAAATGCGAAATTTTGGATTTTTGTTTTTGCGAAATTTGATTGTTTTTTTCCGAAAATTACATATCCCCAACCAATTATATAATGCAGGCATAGCTGATTGAAGGTATACATATAACGAATTTCTTATGCTGAATGGCGACAAAAACTTTAAAAGGGTTTTTTAAGAAATCTCTTCTTTTTTAACTGGCCAGAAGTACCTCACAGTTTTCAACGAATCGAACTGAAATTTTGTAGAACATAACTCAGGCAACATCATAGGGGTTTTTCGATTAACAAATTTCATTAATGCAAAATTTGTTCTTTTTTCAATACTTTTTTTGAATGTTCACTAAATCAATAATAATTATTTTTTAATTTCCCTAAGATGTTCCCTAGCTTTTAGTATACAGTGTGTCTGTAAATAAGTGCAAAATATTTTAGGGGGTTGTTGCCGAAGTTATTTTGTGAAAAAAGTTCATATAATTGTAGGTCAAAATATCCTTCATTTCCGAGATAGTGTTTAAATTTTAATTTTTTAATTATTATTTCATAGTTTTAAACATATTAATTCGAAATTTGATGGTTGTATTTTATTTAGCAATATTGACAGCAACCTACTAGATAATGTAGAAATTAAAAATACACAACTTGCAATAAAATATGTTAATTTTTTCCTCAAAAACGGTGCATCCTACGAAAAAAATTAAGAGACCAATTTCATTCAGAATTGATGGCGAATTTCTAAAAAAATATTAAAACTGGAAAAAGTAAGTGGCATACCATTTTTTTTTATCAAAAAAGATTGTGGCATTCTCGCACGAGTGTCACTGGTGCAAGCAGAAATATTCGAATCACACCAAAAAATGCACATTTATCCCTCTAAAGCGTTTTTCAAATTTCGAGTCAATATCTTTACAACTTTGAAATAATTAATAAAAATAAATAAAAAATGAAAATTTAAACATTGTATCTCGGAAACAAAGCATATTTCGCACTTATTTACAAACACCCTGTATAATATCAGAAAATTTTTGTTTTTTGATACCAAGACCATCCGTTAATAAGAAACCCTCCCGGCCGTAGATCCCTCTGAAAAAAAGGTGTCGTTGCTTGCCATCACCTACAGCCGCCATTTTGAATTAGAATCGTTTGAGGAAATTGACAATACTACTAGAAAACATGTACAATAAAGCTTTTTTGTTCCTGACACTATGTACATCTTATATCAATTCTTCCTTGAAAATTCCCAAAAATCACCCATTTTTCCAATCTCTAGAGTGGCGTTACCACTTACTGATGATTCTGGAAGCCATAAACAACTGTTTTTGAACCGAAAAAAGACATGTGCAAACTGTAAAATTGAAATTACACAGATTTAGTCTTTATTACGTCCCTCACAAAAAAAAATATATTAAAGAACCTTTCGTTATTCCAACTGAGTACGAATAAACATTGATAACTACAAATAACAGAAGAAAAACAATAATCAATACAAAAATGATGATACTAGGAACAACTATAAAATAAAAAATAAAAACAAAAAATCATAATAAACTTTATTCGCAGAAATGATTAACTAAAAATACCTATATATTTAACCTCTGTACATAAGGTAACTAAATAAGTGCAAATAAATTATCTAAAATCTAAATGTAAGTATTTAAAAAAGGCTACAAACAAAAAACAGTAAATAATGTAATTATTGCAACATTTACCTTATAGATACATCTTCAGTACTTTCCTTAAAAATAACTAATGAACTAATTCACTTTTCACATAATTTTAAGTTTATTTAGGCAAGAACACTTTAAAACACTACTACAAAATATAGGAATTTATTATTGCCAGTTCATTTTTAACAAATAATCTATATATAACTATAATTAACATTGGTATAACATCTACAATATTAGTAACTTTCAATGAAAAATCATAACAATAATAAAAATAAATTTAAAAAGGTAAAATGCATATTGCCCCTCTTAGTGAAAATATAAAAGTGCAAATGTTGATAAAGTTACCAGTACAAAAAAAAATGTTTAAATTATTTTTATTTGTTATAAAAAAAATTACATAAACATTGTGTATAAATAACAGTATTCAGATTGAATCGATCAGCTTTTTATTTTTAAAGTTATGTAGATTAAAAAGCGAAAAAATCTAATAAAAAATTAAGTAATGGTAGTTTGTACTCTTTCTAGTTATCTGTATGTAATTGTCAATGGAATCAAAATTATTTCAGTTGTTTCCTATTTCAATTTTGTTTTTTATATACAGGGTGTCGCGCTCAAATGCTGTAGCTTCTTTATTTTATGAGATTTCAAATTTTTTTTTTTAGTGTAGTATAAAAAAACTAACTGTAATGCTGCTGTTGAATGCAATACACGGCCAACTAGGACGCGTTTTTTTTGACGTCAAAACAGCTAATTGACATTAGCGATTTTTTTTCCAAAAAACAGATGATGTATTCTCATTCAGCATCCCTTATAAATGTCATCACCAAGTTTCATCAAAATCGATACATCTTCAGAAGAGCACTAGTTGCTCGTGTATTGCATTAATAAAAAACAGCAGTATCACAGTTAGTTTTTTTTATCCTACATTCCATAAAAAAAAAATTTTGAAATCGGCCAAAAAATACCAAAGTACAGGCTTGTATTACATTTCGCGACATCATGGAGTGCTCCTCTGAAGATGTATTGATTTTGTTGCAACTTAGTGGTAAAACGTTTTAAGGGATGCTGAATGATAATACGTAGTTTTTTGAAAAAAAAAAAAATAACATACCAATCAGCTGTTTTAATGCCAAGAAAACACGTCCTAGTTGGCCGTGAATTGCATTAATAAAAACAGCAATATCACAATTATAGTTTTTTTTGGACCACATTCCAAAATAAAAATTTTTGAAATCGACCAAAAAATGAAGTTACGGGCTTGTATTTAAACGCGATACCCTTTATATTGTCGATAAAAAATATATAAATGTAATTTATTTTAGACATTTAAAAAAAAATACATTCATTAGATGAAAACAAAATACGAATTTTAGTCTTCATTTTTACAATCACAATTAGCAGATTATATCTACCTCTGAAATACAAGGTGAATTCTAAATATATGGTAAATTTTATCAGACATTTTTGGTCTGTAAAGGAAATTTTCTTTTTCATCGGATATAAAAAAATTCATGTCATTTCATAAACATTAGGTGACATTATATTATTTGCAAAATATTTTTTTAATAAAAAAGTTTTAGATACTTTGTATCATTGCAGAAAAATTAAAATTTTTTTCATAGAAAATATTGTTCAATATGCAAAAAATTTGTCCTTTTCTTATTCTGAATAATTATTGTTACTTGCCACGGTGGGCTTGAACATGACTTAAATGCGAAGTTTTAGCACCACTGATTTTCTTTCGGCATTCGATTCCTGGAGTCATAAAAAGGCCAGAAAAAAAAATCCACCGTAATCCTTAGAGCCGTTTTCGAAAAAACACCCTTTTTCAACAAAGAAAAATTCACTGTTCGAGATATCGGGATTTTTCTACCTTTCGCTCACTTTTAGTTGCCAAACTTTCCCAATTTGGCAAAAATTACATTTTCCTGAAAGTTTTACACTAGCACACAAACATTTACAAATTGCCCCTTTTACTAAGACCGGGGATACTCATTGACGATTCTCAGAAACAGGTTAAAATAGAAAAAATTTGAAAGAATGATTTTTCATTCGAGTGAGTTTTGCGGTAGTATGTCAACAAGCGAGAATCATGTCATTTATTTCCATCCTTGTTTGATTTGCGAGGTCATTGAACTATCGCCAACCCCCACCCCCCGATTGTTTGTTTACGTTTTGTAATACTCCAGATCGAATGATCAATATTATTTGTGAAATTAGTTAAAACTCCAG